CTTGACACTGCAAGTATTCAATTTGAATGATAATGATATTGGGGCAGAAAGTGTATGCACTTATCTAGAATGGCAACGCTACGCACTGAGTTGGAATAAGAATGAACCGATTTGATGTTGAAGCTCAGGTCTCTTTTGACATGTAGAGTTTCAGGATGTTTTATTGAGGACTAACAGGCTGTAAACAATATAATATAGCAGGGCTCGTACTGCAACCCTTGGCTACAAAAAAGCATGCCGATAATTAACATTTTCGATCTGTTTTTTTCAGATGTTTCTATTTGTTAAATTATTTGGTAATATTTGTTTTTGTTGCAGTTGGCCCACACGCGTGAATACAGTTTCATCGTATCTTCAAATAAAAACGGTTTCTCTCCAACAGGATGAAGTCCTATTAAAGTTGCACTTGAAAACGCTTCAGGGTAACATGCTGAAGCTTGATATTGAACCAACCTATGATACAAAAACTGAGGAATCAATAATGCTGGTGGAAATTGATAACATCCTTGTACGGATCGGTTCTAAAATGTCTTTTGTGACTCTGGAGGAGCTGATGAAACTGATTCAAATGACCTGAGTATTCTTGGCTTTTGTCAAGTTGCATTATGGGAGGTGTAGAATCCAAGGTTATTTGGAAGTCTTTGTGTCTCTTTACAATCTTCAGGGTGTCAGAAATGTATATCGTTTTTCTTTACTAATAAATTCAACATTACATTTTAGTTTTTGATAGGCTTACCGTTTATGACTATAATAATAATATTCCCCAGGTGCACTTGCAGGTGTATTGGCAAATGCTTAGTCAAGGTGCAAACACACTAATATGTTGTTATTGACTTCAAATATAATACACAGGCCTCTCATTCTGAACACCAAGTGTGCAGAGGGATCTGAAGGATCATCTTTGCATAGTATTTGTAATTATCTCTGTGTTTTTGTTTATCTTCCCGCTCTGCTTTGTTTTACTGTTATCCCGCTATGCCCCAGAATCTTCCCACTGTACAAAACTAAGAGGGAAAACAGGCAGTAGTTACATTCTTCATTTTATCACCCATTTCCACAGAGTATTTGCCAGCACTTCCTCGACACAGTGCAGTGTGGTTTTTATGGTTGTTTTGATTAATGCATATTATTTTACCACAGTAAATGCTCTCTTTTTAATGTTCCACCTCTACCTATAACTGTACTTATGAAGAAATGCACTACGGTTTATTTGACTCGCCCTCCCTTCCTCCTCCTCCTCCTCCTCCTCTCTCCTCTCCTCCTTGTTGTTTGCGTTGTTGCTCAGTGTGCTCCAGTGCACAGGAAGATGCTCTGGTTGCTCAAGGTTAGATTGCTCCGATCAACAAAGAGCAAGTGCGTGTTTCCTTTTGTTTGACATGAGCAGCACACCTCCCCAGACAAACATACCGTACACTCACCCATTTCACAGTTATTTCACTGTAGGGCAGACTGATTCTACTCTCAATTTAGCAAGACAAGTCTTCAAAAAGTGGTTTGAAAGATGGCACTAATACAACTTCAACCCAAAACGTTAATAAAATGTGCAGGAAAACTCAAACAGTACATTACATCGCATTTAGCTGACACTTTTATCCAAAGCAACTTACAATAAGTGCATTCGACCAAGAAGATACAAACTTGAAGAAAACAGAATCATATAAATAATACATTGGGTTTCATAGAGCCAAACCATTTTAAGTGCTACTCAACTGGCTTTAGATAAGCCAGTCCTTTGTTAGTATAGAAGTGCTTTGTTAGTATATAAGTGCTTAGTTAGTATATGAGTGCTTAGTTGGTATATAAGTGCTTTGTTATTAATTGTATTGCTCGAAATGGAGTCGAAAGAGATTAGTTTTTAGTCTGCGCCGGAAGATGTGTAAGCTTTCTGCTGTCCTGATGTCAATGGGGAGCTCATTCCACCATTTTGGAGCCAGGATAGCAAACCCACGTTTTTTTGCTCATGGGAACTTGGGTCCCCCTCGCAGTGCGGGTGCATCGANAAGTTTAACAATTATCGGCAATACATAAAACATCAATATCGTCAGAGTAAAGTATACCTTCACCTTTACTACAAAGAGTCCGAAACCTACAGTACAACAAGGTTTATGACTTTTTAGGCACCCAGATGTGAGCGGCGCAGAAGTGGCAGCGCTTCCCACAGTCTGGGGGCCTGGCTTGAAAGGCTCGATCGCCTCTGGTTTTAAAGTGCTGTGGATCCAGCGATTGGTCAGAGGATCTAAGAGAACTGCCAGGATATAAAGCTTTCAGCAGCTCAGAAATATAGCAGGGCTTGATTAGTTGAAGCTCTAAAGTGAGGACTAGATTTTAAAATGTATCCTGACACTGATGGGAGCCAGTGGTAGTTCTTGCTAAACAATATGGTGTGGATGTGCGCTCTTTACTAGTGTAGGGTTAAAAGCCTTTGCATCAGAGTTTTGAACAACCTGGAGACGATGAAGATCCGTCTGGCTCAGGCAAGTAAAGAGACTGATTGGCAGTAGTCTAGGCGGGATGAAATAAAAGCATGAATGATCATCCTCTAGTTCCACCTTTGATACTAAGTTCTCAGCTTGGGAATCGTTCCTCAACTGGGAAAAAGCAGCCTCTGATCAAGTGTTTTTTAATGTGTTGTTTTAATGACATGGTTAATGCAATAAACACACCTAAATTCCGAAGACCTTGACTGGGTTGACGAGTCAAGGCTACCCATGTGGTGGCTAATAAGAAAGGGATCCGGTTTTCTGGAGCAATGATCAGAGTCTCTGTCTTGTCCGAGTAAGTTGAAGAAAGTTTTCACTTAACCACTGTTTGATGCTCCGTCAAGCAGCAGTTAAGGAGGACATTTGTGGTAGCTCAGAGTTTTTTGAAGGTGCAGTACAGCTGATATCATCCGCATAAAGATGGTAGGAAGACATTTTGGAACTGGTAATAGCTGTTCCCAGGGAAGAATATACAATAAAAACAGAATCGGGCCCTAAAACGAGCAATGTGGTACACCACATGTCAGGTCAGACTGTTTTCGGAGAAGAAACTCCGGTTGGGAAAACACATTATATAGTTCTTTCAGTAACGATAAGAATCCAACCATTTAAAACCAACCAGCTAACCCTAAATCTTTGAGTACTGTTTCTCATAATGTCATATCAATAGATGTCGAAAAAGTCAGACGAAAGGTCCAATAAAACCAAAACAGTGGTATTCAACAGAGTCGGCTGCCATCATGAGTCACTGGAAACACTCGAATAAGGGCAGTTTTCCGTCGGGTGATTACTGCGGAAACCGGACTGAAATTTATCCAGGGACGTTTTTTCCCTTAAGGAACACTGTAAGTTTCCTCTGACACTATTTTTCTAAAAGATTTTGACAGAAAAGGAAGCTGAGAAATTGGCCTATAGGTTTTAGGTGTGTGATGGTCCAGATTGGCTTTTTAAGTGCAGGTGTCAACACTGCCATGTTTAAATAAAAAAGGTTGGAACGCACACCAGTTGAAAGTGAAAGATTCATCAAATATACAAGCAGCGGGCCGATCAAATTGAAAGACTGTTAAAAAGCAGCTAGTAGTGAATGAAGTCAGTAGGAGGCTGAGGAGGGTTTCATTTGTAGAAGCAGAGCAGTGATACCTGGAGAGTCACCTGGGTTAAAAGAGGACCAAGTACAGGGTGGGGGGCATTTTCATCAACAAGAGTTTAGAGAAATCTGTGTGAAATGTTCTCCCCTGATGCTCTGATTTTATTTACAAAATATCTAAGAAAGTTCCATTGCTTGTCTGTTTTACATACACAGAAATTGGGGACAGCAGGCGGAGACAAGAGAGTAATTGTGGTTCAAACAAGACTCCTGGGATTTTTTTTATTGATGATATTATTTGGGGTGAATACTGCGGTCCTAGCATTCCTCACATATCATTAAAAGAGGCCTAAGTTCCCCTTAGATGGGGTCCTGGGACCTCTAATTGTGTCGCGATTCCAGAGACGTTCTGCTTTTCGACAAATTGTCCTAAAAGGAGCGGATGGAGTCATTTTCCAGGGTGAGGCAGAAATTACTGTTGCATCCAGCTGGATTTTCACACCAATGAAACTTTATTCTAAAACTAGCCCAAACAGTGCTATTAAAACTTGGATAAAAATCATCAGGTATGATTTATTCCAATCAGTAAGGCCTATTGAGTGGCTCAAACAAAGCAGAGAAATCATTGCACCTCAAACTGATGAAAAATTCCGCCTTCGGGCTTTCTTTTAAAAGGAGGAGGGTTTACAGCAAAGTTAAAATAAAAAGGCACACAAGCTATGATCACGACATGAAGGTCCTCCACCTGCACATTCCCAACATCCAGGCCAAGTGAAAAAACAAGGTCCAGAGTATGGCCCTTTGTATGTGTGGTCCACTGACATGGTTGGGTGAAGTTAAAAGAGTCAGTGATGGATAAAAAGTCAGTAGCTGTGTTACAAGAGACATCATCAAACGTGAAATGTTAAACAATCTCCAATGATTAGGGACCCTCTCCAGTTTAATAATGGAAGAATAACCAAGTCTGTGAAAAAAAAAGGAAGGTACTCACTTGTTGCCAGAGAGGACGCGTTAAATTAAAACACAATAAATGCTGTTAAGAGTCCAACTCTGAGTAAATCTTGGAACTCCAAAGGAAGAGAAAAGAACTTCGCGATTACCCAGTTCTGCCACCAGTATTGCTGCTCGCGATGCACAACAGCGAGTCCCACCCACGCGCGTTCCATGCGAGGGACCGATCACAGAGCAGCCGGAGGACAGAGCCTCCTTAGTGAAAATAGTTTCCTTTGTCCGTCGCCCACGTTTCAACAAGGAACATTAAAAATCCATGTGTCTCACTCGAAAAGAGTTCATTAAAGAGTCAGGGATTTTGCCTTGGAGATGGAACGAGCGTTCAATAATGCCCATCCGGATCGGCACTGACAGATCAGCTGTGGCCACAGCTGACTGTAGACGAGACTGACAGCACCCCGGGCACCTGTTGCGATTGACAGGAACTCCAGCCGGAGGCCGGCGCAGTCCTTCTCTGTCGCGGCAGAACAGTCCGCGCGAAACACCAAAGAGGTCCATAATCCCAGATCCACGAGCGGCCAGGAGCCGAGAAACGCTGTGTGACAGCGTGAATAAATCCATGACTGGGGGGATCAAGTGGAGCGTCCGCGCCCATGTCACTGGAGGGAAATCGGTCGCAACCAGCGAGTATGTTCATGGCGACTGGACCCAGGACCATCAGCCCGAAAAGCTCGCCTCCTCGATACCTGTACGCCACCTCGGCAACCCCTTCTCCTGGATTTCTTCCCTGGCTTACCTGGACGCCAGTTTGCGAAGAGAAGCCGGTACTCAGGTGAGGAGGAGGAACACACAAACCGTGGCGGAAAAGTTTGTCGGTAGCCCTCCCGGGAGTCAAAGGGTCTTTCCATGGACGCTTTAATCCGGAACAAGGACCATCGGTCATAAACCATTGCAGCAGAGATACATCCATTTAGAGGTGAGGTTATGACAACAAACATGACAGATAAAAACAGCGAAAAACGGGTGGCAGCAGGAGCAACAATAGCCAAGCCAAACAGAGGCGCCATGTTGAGGGAGTTGCAGTAGTCTAGGCGTGAGATGACAAGAGTCTGGACCAGAACCTGCGTCGCTTTCTGGGTCAGCTGGGGACGTATCCTCCTGATGTTGTAGAGCGTGTATCTGGAGCAGCGGGTTGTTACAGCGATGTTTGCAGTGAAGGACAATTTGTTGTCTAGGGTCACGCCTAGATTCCTCGCAGTCTGAGTCGGGGAAACAATAGAGGTGCCGATGTTGATTGTTAGGTCAAGAGTGGGACAATCTTTTCCCGGAAGGAAAAGCAGTTCAGTCTTGTCAAGGTTGAGCTTGAGGTGGTGAGCAGACATCCACTGAGAGATGCCAGCTAGAAAAGCAGAGATGCGTGCGACGACCTGGGTCTCTAAGTGGGGAAAGGACAGAATTAACTGGGTGTCGTCAGCGTAGCAGTGGTATGAAAAACCATGCGGGCTAATGACTTGCACTCGGACATTAGGGATTTTCTCTCATAAATGTCCGATGAGCCAAAACGTTTCTTTCAAAACAAAGCTGTTCTGTTCACATATAAGCAAACATTACGTTTGAGTGATTTAGTGAGCTGGTGTTATTTTTTTCAAACCACAAACCTGGCTATTTCAGCACCACGCGCTGTCCACCTACTTATTGATCCACTATCAGCGTCAGTGCACCCCGCTGCACTGTGCCTGTGCGGTGTGTCATTCAACATGGATACAAGTACAATAAGAATTCTTCAGGTGTAGGTAGATTCTGTATTCGGACATTATAGCCTATTTGTGCGACTGTCGGTCCGATATTGTAAAAAAAATTGCTGGCCACCGCAGGCCGCCTATTGCCGACCCATGCACTAGTCGCTTCTTAAAAAAGCTTAGTATTGCTCTTAAGGTATGTACAGCAACTAGTGAAAGCTACCTTTTTGATTGTATCCAACTTTTTATCAACTGATAGCTTCTCTTATTTGATGGAGGTTGTTCTGTAAGAGAGGAGGGATTGTATCACTGGACTGTAAAATATGAAAGCAGGTTTTTGGAAGTGAGGAACATGTCACACCTGTCGACAATGAAATCAGCCCTCGGCGCTAAACTCTCTTCCTTACTTTCCGCCTCAATACATAACGGGCACACTGCTTCGCTTCAGCACTTATTGGAGCTGAATAATGAGGTGCAGAACCATCCAGTATGGAAGTATTTCCCTAGGGCTAGTGTGGGCTGTAACATCTGGCAGTCAGTGGAGGTGTCTCTGTGAACCCAAATCCTTAGTTCTTCTGTTTCATGAGAGTGATTGAGAGCATAGTCATTTCTGAAAGAGCGAATTTCGGCAAACCTTAATTAATAATCCTGTTTCTTCAGCAAATGAGAAAACACAAAATGTTCAACCAACCTTAAAATAATGAATAAACATTTAAAGAAAGGAAAGCTATCACTGTGTTTATCAGCATGAGTCCTGAACAGTGGTTCAAGACCCCTGGAGGGATTTCATCATGTGCAAAAGTACCGTACAAGCTTTTACTTCAACCAGCAAAGCCTACCATAACCACACAATAACATGTTTCTGGGCTCAAAAGTTAATTTAATCATAAATCAAATAAAAAACAAACAATTCAATTCAACTGTTATAACAAGGACATGATTATACTCAGGGGTGCACATCACTTTTTTGTGAGTTACTCAGATGAGTACCAGGAAACAGCGTTTGGTACTCACCCCACACGAAGCGTGGTCCTCCTCAGTGTCGCATTCACTGTCCTCTATTTACACTTCTTGCATGCTAGATGATGAAGATGATGAAGAAGCACCTCCCTGTCTCTTTTTGAGCCTTCGATTTGCTTCTCCAAAACTTGTTGCCAAAACTGTGAAGTCCTTGCATTTCCTGAGGCCAAGTTGAAGGATCAAATACTAAGAAATGATCACATGAATTGAAGTCATATCTGATTTCAGATGTGGGAAGTTACTAAGTACACTTATTCAAGTACTGTACTTAGGTACAATTTTGAGATATTTGTACTTTACTTGACTTTGATCTACTTTGTAAAATTAGCTGCACCTTTACCAGCTTTGATAACACTTTAATGATCAATCATTACAAAACATATCATATATATTATTCTGAA